ACACTGGAGAGAAGCCATTTGCTTGCATCATTTGCAACAAAACATTTTCCCAGTCAGGGGGGCTTCAAGTGCATCTCCGCACCCACACTGGAGAGTAGCCATTTGCTTGCAGCGTTTGCAACAAAACCTTTTCCACCTTCAGTGTCCTTAAAGAGCATCTCGGTACCCACACTGCTGAAAAACCATTTTAGTGCAGCACTTGCTGGAAAATATTTGGCTAGCCCTAACATCTCAAAAGGCATCTGTAGACCCACACCCTCACTGCAGAAAGTAGAAAGGGTGTGCAACAAACCATTTTCTGCTCGGGAAAGGACTAAGCTCACCTCTTCTCCAAAACCGAAATTGAGTCGTTTAAGTAATTTTTTATAACAAGAATTTTTTATTACACTCAATATTTACTTTGTATGTCACCATGTCTACATGCGATTTAATTCCACAGAAAGTGCGTATTCTATTTTTTTGTACCCAATTATCAATCACATAGTTTCGCTTTTTGTGGTTGATTGCGTTTCTTTTGTTTTTTCTTTTACTAATTTTAAATTTTTTCCCTATTAAATTAACCAACTCTTGGGTCGTATATTGTGTTTTTCGTGGCATTACTGTGTCTCCTTAAGCACATCGCAAACTTTGTCGGGCAACCGCTTTTGAATACAGCCTACGGTTCGTATAGTTTTCCGGGAAAAATGAAATAGGTGGAAAAAAATCGGATTTTTTCTGATTCTTTTCGGAAAAATTGGAAAATAATGGTTATTGAACAGAAACAAGCTTTGGATAAGACGTGAGTGATAAAGAAGTATTTCAATACTCAGCTGAAAATGCTGCGTTGGTATTTTGGAATACGTAGTACGCGAAAATCTCAAGAAAAGTCGTAAATTTAGGAGTAGTTGTAGGAAGTACACCGTTGAGCGTCAGAACAAAACGAATTCCGACATTAACTGAAGAGATCGCTCGAATATTAGAGTCAAATTATTAGGGCCTACACATACATTTTCATGGCGCAAAACGTCCAAAACAAATCTAATTCTTCGTCCCTCATTGCGCAGAGGGAGATTTTTGGCGTGTTTTTCACTGTAAAGGTTGTTAGGCTTTCAATTTATCCAATTTTTCCAATTTTTCCGGAAAAAAATCCGACCGGGCGAACCCTACAGCCTGCATCGTCGCCATGTATGGCGCCATGATGGCGCAAATCGCAAATTACAAACCCACCACCCGCTTGTGCACACTATGGCACACACCATCGCTCGACCCACCGCTAGACTTTTAAAAAGTGCACATATGCGTTTAGAGAGCTCGTCTTCACGACAGAGCCCTGTAACGAGCGAGCGCCGATGCTCGTTTCCAAAACGTGGTGTGAGGTTGGGTAGGTAGAGGTTCTGCAAAGTCTCCCGAGCTGGGAGTCTCGACGGTCTACCGGCCGCACGAGGTGACGCCGGGAGTCAGCTGAGCTCTCGCGTCTCTCTCGCACTCGCCGCTGCTAGATACGTCTGTCTCTGTCGCCCCAAACGAGCTTCGCCGGCTCAGTAGGTGGCTGGTGAACTGAGCCGCGCTCGGCTCACTAGGAAACGAACTGAGCCGCTCGGTGCCTACCCCGAGAGGAGGCGCGGCGTCGCATGAGCCTCCCGGCTCGCTCGTTGCAGGGCTCTGCTTCACGAGTCTACTTTAAAACGTGAAATTCGCTATGTCGCAACTAATAGTCTTGTCATAGTCAAAGAGTTAGATGTGACGTTCTAGGGTTAGTTGCTACAGCAAAGGTGTGGCTGCAGCAGCGAACCTGTTTGTCCTGACAACTCAGTGGGTGTTTGTCCAGTAAACTATCGGGTTTCGCTCCCCCAGCCAAGCATTGTTGAAGCAGTTAACTCTGTAAACTACATACCTACTAGCCGAAGTCAAATACTTAAGGCTGAGCTAGTGCCCGAAGGGCGATTTATTTAATTTTTCAGAAAAGGAATGAAAAAAAGTGATTATATGGACTTTTCAATATGGTAACCAAATGAAAGAAGACAAACAACACAAAAGTAAAATAGTCTCAGCTACACTGCTAAAATTGCTCGACTATTTACATACATTTCATGATTAAAGGAAGAGCCACCCCTCTAAATTATGTAGTTTTTTTTGTTGTTTTTTTAAAAATAAATTTAAACTTCTCTGCTTTCTTAGTGTTCAATGTAGTTTCGAAATTTAGTCATGGATCAAAATGTAAATTTTCTAGGGGGCTGCTGCTCTTATTGTATATATAATCGAGATGAGCACATTTTCAGCAACACGGATAAAAATGACTTTGTTGCGAGGATCAACTTTGTTTGATGGTACGAATAGAACCAAGCTGGAGTTTGTTCTATTCGTACAAGTGCCCGGTCCTGGTTGTGGGTATCGAATTCTCGATTCCTGCTATCAAATTTAGCCTATTAAACAGACTTGATCCCCTCAACAAAGTAATTTTTTTTCGTGAATTGATTGACATCGTCCTCCCCGACTTTCTCCCCGTAAGTCCTCTACTTGACTTTCCGCCGTCGCCGGCCCGGCCCGCGCGTGTGTGGGTGAAGTTGGGCGCGCCCGGCCCTGTTCGGTGTGGGCCGCGCGCGCTGTGCCCGACCCTCGTTTGTTGCGCGCCAGAGTTCAAACCTCGCGCGCCGAAAGGTCGTTGCCCTTCGGGGTGGTGGGTTGGAGTTGGACCCGCTTCGATATCCAGTCGGCCGACCCGGCGGCGCGGAGGCGGCGGCGTCACGGGACGCGGCTCGGCGCCCAAATGAGAAAATGTCGGGGAACATCGCCTCCAGTCCGCCTCTGTATCGCGCCGCGGTATCGCGGGATTCTGTCCGCCTGCATCGTCCATGCCGCTCGGTTTGTTTCTGCATCCCTTCCCTCTCCGCTGCACGGTGACGGTGTGCGGGTGTAACGGTGCATCCCGTACATTTTCCCCGTCAAATTAAATATTAAATAATTTTTGAAACAAATAGTTTAAACAATTGAGCTGTCCATAGAGATTTATGTTATTGCCTCTTTCGCAAAACCATATAAAGTACACCCAGAAAAAAAATAATTCTTGAGTCAAATATAGTTGTACTCGGGTTTGCACAAGTTCAATTTTTCTCTGGAAACAAGGCGCTTATTCATAACATTTCGTCTGTTTGAGTTGCTGCTGGATCTTGGCCCTCCTTAGCTGAATTGCCTGCGCGCCATCTGCGCCTGAAATCGGACCGCTTGTCAGGGGCGCGGCGTGCCGCGCGCCGCACCTTTGGGTCCTGCGCCACCTCGCCGACCCCGCCACGCCACCGCCACGCCCCATTCTAGCTGGCGAAATGGTGCGTGGGCTCTGTGGGCCCGGCCGGGCCGGGTATGGCCAGGTGTGTGCGTATGCCTGTGTTGGAGAGCGAGAGAGAACGAGCGAGCGCCTCCATTTCGTCAGACTCTGCTGTAGTGAGGACTAGCCTAGTCTGATCGTAGGCGAGTGCCTTTGCTTGCCCCTTACACCGGCTCGCCTGGACCTTTTCACCATCCCCACTCGATCCTGCTGTGCACAACCCACCCCGCCCCGGTGCGTGGGCGGCCAGCCGTTGGGTCGGTCGGAAGTGAACAACACACCAACTCCGATGAGGAGGATGACGACGCCGGACCGCCTAACTGTGTCGCTGGGTGCGCTGTAGCTGCCCAGCTGATTAGGCAAATTAGCAAAGTGGGGGGGGGGGGGCGTTGCACACACAAGCTGCGGTCGCACGGCACAAAGGTGTAGTGCCCCTGCGGCCCACACAGCCCCCTGGAGAACCTCCACGTCAACTGTAGGCGACCACCTGGGAGTGCAGTGGCCCTGCTTGCGACCCACACAGGCTCCTGGAGGAACCTTCAGGTCAACTGTAGGAGACCACCTGGGACTTTTATGCCCCTGTGGCCCACTTTAGCCTCCTAAAAAGTCTACCAACCCGCTGCGACCACACTATCCCCCTGCAGCTCCCGGAGAACGACGGGGTGCCCGCAGTGGCTGGTCGCGGTCTTCGCGGACCGTCGCGGACACACCCTGCGTCTCTATACGCTCCTCGCCCACCTCGGCCTTCCCCTTCGCTCGCTCCGCGGACTACACTCTGCCGAACTCGAGCCGCCTTCCGACGCAAACGCATTCCCTTGAGCAGCAGCGGTAGCCGCTGCAGCTCCGTTGCAGCTGCTGGAGCCGCTGGACCCGCGCGACCGCGAGTCCTCTCCTTTCGTTTCCTCGCAGCGTTGCCGGCGCGCTGCTGTCGTATAATTGTATTGTAATTATGAGGCGAGCTGAATAAGAAATCGTATCCCGGCCGCCCACTC